AATAGCTAAATAAATGTTAACTATTAACTATTCATGATGAAGGAAAAACAAGCAACCTATCAAAAATCAGAGGATACGAGCTACAGGTAGAGATTCCCATTCTTATACATAAGAAAATATAGCCAGACTACAAGAATTTTAGTTCCAGTTTATCCAATCCTCTTCTTAAATTCTTCAAAAGAAGATTTTCAAATGATGGGTCAGCCTACCTAAATATTAAAATAGTAAAACATGGCTAATATTAAAATAAATGACCTTGCATTCTGTGCGCCCATGTCAACTAACTGCAAAGTCAGGACAGCCAGAAATACATCTTGAGCAAGGGGAAGCAGAGAGAGACTAAACATTTGTTATAGATTTTCCATAAATGGATGAACGAGAGCTAAGTGTCTGGAAAAGCCATCAGACTCCATGTTCAGCTCCTTTTACCCAACCCCTGTTCCGGTCATGTCCCTAGGCCCAAGGCCTGAAGCCCCGATCAAGATGCACACTCCAGGCACCAGTGCACAGATTCCTGCACCAGGCTCAGTGAGGTGACAGCGAGGGCAAGGCCTGCAGCCATGGCATAGCTTTGCTTTCAGCCTATCCATGCTCAGATTCTTGTCTCCTCCTGTCACAGTCCCAGGTCCTTGAGTATCTCAAGGCACTTTTCTGCTGCTTTTTCAAAAAAGACCTTGCCATCTGCAAGAGAAGGGGGGTGCAGGAGGGTGCCTGTAAGAACCATCCCATAAATATTTAACATATCCCCCAAAGCCATAAGGTCTCCAGTGTTGCAGTCCCACTCCTCCTGCCCAGAGCACAAAGGCAGGGGCTCCTATAATGCACACAGCACAGGAGGGGGATCATGAAGGATGCAGAACTGAACATCATGTCTGTACACTGACCCTGTTCTGGACAACCATCAATACAGTTTATTTTCCAGGTTTCATTTCCACCCAGTTGGTCTCAATTCTTTGCACGGCTACCAGTGTTCTTAGCACTTTCCAATCACACTGACATCATCTTGTTATTTCTAAGCCCAGGCTCCCTCCTGCCTCTTTGAGCTGATGATGGGCTTTTCACCAGCGCCACATGGCCACATGGCCACATACTGCCTGCTCGCCTACTCTTCAGCACCCCCCCCACTTTTGCTCACACCCGTTCTCAGTGTCAGTTCCATGAACCTTTCCCTTTTGAATCTGTAACAGACTAGAGATGGGTTTAAGTTGGAAGGCAGGAGAGGAGGGAGGAGGAGACAGAGGGAGAGAGACATTCTTGCCATCCTACTGCCCTCTCATGGAATCAGGAGCAAAGTGACTGTTCAGTGAGACAGGGTACAACTAACCTAGGAAGTACATTTCCATCTAGTGCTCCCAAGGATGCCCAGGAGTGGGGAAAGGTGGGCAGTTCAGAGGATCCAAGGACTGTAAACTGGGATAAAAGCCATTTTCAAAGAGCAGGGCCCAAGCAGAGGCAGTACTGCCTACCCTAAAACCCCCATTCATCCCCACCAGTAACTTTCCCCAACAGGAAAAACCCTAATTCCTGCCTGTGGTTACAACACAGGAATCCAACACTCCAAGTAGGAAAAAGAAATAAATCTGCCAGGGTGCTAGAGACATGGGTGGGAGGTGTATTTAACACCGCCCACTCCAGACATTTACCCCCATCACACTGGGGTGCCTATTTATACTAAAGAGGTTATAAAAATGTTTATAAGTTCCCACTCCCTCAAAGAAGCATATAATCATCAGAAGGAAAGTTTTAAGAAATCCAGGACATATCAAAGAATATGTAAATAAATGTTGACATTTATAATCCATTACAAAATAAAAGTTAACTAGCCCAAGGTCAAAGTGAATCATGATCAATCTGCATTGGGGTCTTCAATCTACCAGCTGACAGCAGGGACCAAGTATCCATTCTACCCAGAACTTGGGAAAGCCAGGGTAAGAAAAAAATACAACACAATCTACCTGGATACCCTCCCTGTCCCATCATGTCTCATTTGTTGATTCATGTATTCATTATCTTGATTGTTCTTTCTGTGTTCTAGGCAGTGGGTTACATGCTACCTGGACATACTGACATGAATAGGCAGAATCTCTACCCTCAACTTCCTCAGCATCATGGAAACTGTCCTCTTTCTCCAAAAGCAAATAAGTCCTCCTGACACCCCATTTCTATTCATGGTCACAGTCATCCTAGGTGCAAAACCTTAGCATATCCTTCAATTCCATCAGTATAGGTCTCAATGGTGGATGAGAAGAAAAAGTTATTTCAGCACCGCACTCTACCGAGTGAGCCACAGGCCGGCCCAGAAAAAGTTATTTCAAAGAACCAAACAGACTGAAGGCTTTGGATTTAACCCAACCAGACCAGGCCCACTCAGAAGGAACAGTTCCAAAACAGATATATGAAGGTACTTCAAAAAGCTCATGGTAAAGGGCTGGCCCGTGGCTCAATCGGGAGAGTGCGGTGCTGATAACACCAAGGCCCCGGGTTCGGATCCCATATAGGGATGGCCGGTTCACTCACTGGCTGAGCGTGGTGCTGACAACACCAAACCAAGGGTTAAGATCCCCTTACTGGTCATCTTTTAAAAAAAAAAAAAAAAAAAAAGTTCATGGTAAGATTCACATTATTTTTTATTTTTTATTTTTTTTTGTCTTTTTCCGTGTCCGGCAACGGATCGCAACCCTCAGTGTCACCCCCGTACCTGACCAGGACCGGCAACGGGATCGCAGCCCTCGGTGTTGCTCCCGCGCCTTGCTCAGCCAGTGAGCGGGAACCGGTCTGTATGTGGGATCCGAACCCTCGGCGGGAGCGCCGCCGCGCTTCCCAAGCGGCGCACTATAGCAGTGCGCCACCGGGCCGGCCCAGATTCACATTATCTTTTAATTCTAGTTTTCCACAAACTTTTTGAAGTACCCTCATATATCAGGTTGATGAAAAAGATGGCACACTCAGAAAAAAGTGTCACATTTGGCAGAAAAGTATTAAAATCTCAATCAAAACACATCTGATTGTACAGAGTCAAAAAGCTGGACAGTTTCTGAGATAATAGGCAAAGCCTAACTATTAAAGGAGTGCTGCCCAATAGGTAGAGTTGGGTCACCTTAGAAGGTCTACTTATAACTCAGGTCTCAAGTACCAGATCAGGGCCTGTCAGCCAGCATCTGAAACCTCAGCTGGCCTGAGACAGCAGCCCTGGCTCTTGAGATGAGGTGAAGACCAAGAAATAAGAGTCAGATATAGTAAGGGATAATAAGGAAACAAATTCAAATCCATGATATGAGCAATTTTGTTTTACTGGCCAGTTTTGTGATCATTCTAATAAAGTGTGAGTGACTTGATTTTAAGGTGTTTAAGGTATTTAAAAGAATTTGATATATTAGACTTGTGAAAAGCTTAACTGATTGAGCCCACAACCGATATTCAAATGTTAGGGAAATCCAACTTGTTGACTTCATTATTCATTGTTTGGGTAAACACTTTGGGAATATTTAGAAAAATGTTAATTGTTTAAAAATTAATAAGTCAGACACTAGACAAAGGACATATAGTAAGGAATGTTCTAAGTATAAAAACACATTGGAGGTTTTAAAGATTACAACATCATGATGGGTTTTGGTGTTTTGTTTTGTTTTAAAAGATGACCGGTAAGGGGATCTTAACTCTTGACTTGGTGTTTTCAGCACCACGCTCTCCCAAGTGAACTAACCAGCCATCCCTATATAGGGATCCGAACCCATGGCCTTGGTGTTATCAGCACCACACTCTCCCAAGTGAGCCATGGGCCGGACCTTGGTGTTTGTTGTTATAAAGAATATTCTGGTGGCACTGGAAGACGAACTGTGAAGAAAGAGATTAGAATTTGGAAGGTATTCCAGAAGCTATTCCCATCCGTATTCTGCATTTTCCAGCATTAGTGCCTTTGCTCAAGCTGTTCATTTGCCTAGAATACCCCCTTACATCCTCCATGTCTAAAACTTACCCACTCTTCAAGACCCAGGTCAAATGTCATCTATTCCACCAAGTTATCCCTGATGTATGGGCAAGTAACTTCTTCCCCCACCAAACTCCCCCAAACAGTGTACCTGTGCTATAGCTTTTTACACATGCTGCTCAGCCTTACAGCTTCCTAAATATTCATTAACATTTATTAAGCACTTTTTAAGCACTAAGTACCTAGTGTCTATTCTCTTTCCCCAACTGCAAACTCCCTGAGATGGCCCAAGCCCATGTCTTACTAATTATCATACCTCCCATACAGCCTAGTACAGTAAGACTGGGGATAATGCTATATCTCTGCACAAAAATGCTAATGGCTCCCAGTGCCTGTGTAATACAATCCAGATCTCCTGGTCTCACACTCAGAGCTATAGGACCCAACCCAACCCACCTCTACAGTCTCATCTTCCACGTGTGCTATGTACTCCAGTCTAAGGAAATGCCTCATCTGCCCTAAACTCACCCCATACCTTCTGCCAGTGTGGCTCCCTGCATTTGAACTCCTCTCACCATTCACCTCTGCTTGTCCCATCCTGCCCATCCTCCTTTCTGGCTCACCTCAAATGCCAGTTTCTCAATAAAGCTTTTCCTAGTCAATCAGAATGGCCAAAAGCCCCCCAGATCTCCCCTCCCGCGGCACTCTGCTTACCTTCCTTATGGCCCTGTCACATTCTACCCTTTGTCCTAGTCATTTAAGTCTCTCTTCGTGAGACTACAGAATCTTAGAGGGCAGTAATCATATCTCATCTATACTTATATGACCTCTAGTACCTAGCAAAGTACCTCACGTGGAAACATTCAATAAATGGTGGCTAGTTGACAAATGAGTAAATGAATGGATCCCCTTCTCCTCTAGTATTTCCCCAGACCCCAGAAATCCCTTCTGGACAGGACTGGGACAAAATGATTCTCTTTCCAAACATGCATCCCACAAAGGAGAAAAGCTTATGAGAAAGGAAGGATATACCAGACTGAAGCATTTGCCTGCAGGGGCTTCAGGCTCTTACCTCATACTCAAAGTCACCCCCCAGTGCCCCAATGTCCAGGTGCAGTTTCTTAAGAAGCTCACTTGAGCTGCAGGCACTCTAGAAACAAAAATGATTATGAGTGGTGAGTCTAAGGAAACTGGTCAGCCCAGGGTGAGGGGCATGCAGAGGGAGAAATGGGGTACTGCTGTGCTCACACAGGGCTTCGGAGGACTCTAGGGTGGGCCCACCATTACGGCAGCCTCACTACACAGCCCTTCATCCAGCACAAACAATGCTTTATACCAAGCAACTTGCCAAGAGGCTACTTGTCAGTTGTGCTTTCTGGATCAGACCTCGGAGGCATAGGTGCTGGTCAAGAAACCAAGCCGATGGCTGGGAGATCATTTTTCCCTATTTTTAAAATAGCACAGAGGTTAGCCAAAGGTGGAAACAACCCAGGTACCCAACAACAGAAGAGTTGATAAAGAAAATGTGGTATATACATATGATGGAATATCATTAAGCATTAAAAAGGAAGCTCTGATGCATGCTACAACATGATGAACCTTGAGAACATTATGCTGAATAAAAGAAGCTAGACACAAAAGGAAAAATATTGTATAATTCCACTTCCATGAAATATCTAGAATAGGCAAATTCATAGAGACATAAAGTAGATTAGAGGTTACCAGGGGCTGGAGGGAGGGGGAATGGGTTGTTGTTTACTGGGTACAGAGTTTCTGTTTGGGATTATGAACAAGTTCTGCAAATGGATAGTGGTGATGGATGTACAACATTGTGAAGGTATCTAATACCTTGTAACTTAAAAATGGTTAAAATGGGGCTGAGCCCGTGGCGCACTCGGGAGAGTGCGGCCCTGGGAGCGCGGCGACGCTCCCGCTGCGGGTTCGGATCCTATATAGGACTGGCCGGTGCGCTCACGGGCTGAGCGGGGTGTGGGCGACAAGGGTTGTGATCCCCTTACCAGTCACGAAAAAGACAAAAAAAAAAAAAAAGAAAAGAAAAGAAAAACAGAGGGTTTCAGGCCATACCTGGTTATTACTCTCCTCTTCATCCTCCTCCTTGGTCTCCTCCCCTAAAGCCAAGAGGCTAAGTGCATTCTTATCCTCGTGGATGGAACCCAAAAGACCCTTTGTATAAGCAGAAGTCTTGAGACCCTGTGAAGGCTCCAAAATAGAGAAGGAAAGTCAAAAGACTTACTAGAAAGACCTTCAGAGTGACCTTTAAAATGCTCTTCCCACTCTCTATTTAGTGGTCTCCCAGATCAAGTCCCACCATGTCCATAAAGTTGACCTGGGGACTCCAGCTCACCCAGATAACTCCCTTCTCCACTACTACTGCTCTAACTGCTTGAACTGAGAAATTAGCACTGATGTCCCTAAAGCATGGGTCTATCCTCCACTGCCCAGAGTCCATGTTCAGCACCATACGGGTGTGACTCAACTTCCCAACTAGATTATGAACTTTGAGTACTCAGCCTATGGCCTCTATTTCTCACCTATGGGCCACAGTTCCTAGCTTGGCACACAGGAGGCCCTGCATAACTAAATACGATGAACACAAGTGAAGTACTTACCACAGTGAGTTCACCGAGCTGACCAGACTCCACTGAGCTCCCCAGGCTCACCCTTTGAGATCCACGAAGAGCAGATGGCGGGGTATCCACAAGGCCTCTTAAAGGAGCCAGACCCCCAAGAGGAACATAGACCGGGGCTAGCGAGGAACCCAGGGCCTGGGCAACAGAAAGCATCTTGTCAGAAACCCAAGAAACCACATGGCTCTGAGAGTGTTGGAGACAGATATAAAAATAAAACATCTAAATCTTGCCCGTTCAAATCTAAACCACCTCTGCTCAGAGGCTGCTAATGAAACACAACATCCAGAAATTACCATTGTGCCAACTGTGTGAGAAATCACAGGCTGGTTTCCTGATTCTCATAACTCTAACGCTATCTCACAGTAAACAGTTCTTTCACATCTGGCAGATGCCGTACGGGCTTCTGCTCTCCTTTCAGAAGCCATATAGGAAGTGTGCGGGAGGGGAACACAGAGACAAAATCCTCATCTACCAGAAGGAGAAGTCTCAATAGATAAAGTTTAAAATTGATGAGTCAAGAAAAAGCGGTCTAAGCATATTATTTACAAAAATGGAAGTAAACACCAGTGGAAAGTAGTTGCCTCTGGGGAAGGCTCTGCACACCAGAGAACTGCTATACTTTGTTTTATATGCCTTTTAGTACTATTTGACTTTTTTTTTTTTGTAATTATGGGCATGTATTACCTTGATTAAAATAAACACCAACTATGAAAAAACATACATGAGCAACAAAAAAAAGAACTTTCTTCCCCTCTCCACTGATGAGGAAGGTGGTTGAATGGAGCCTTGCCAAAGGGCAGTACAGGATGAATATCCCTTATCCAAAATGCTTGAGACCAGAAGTGTTTCAGATTTTGAATTTTTTGGATTTGGGAACATTTGCAAATATTCCATCCCTAATCCAAAATGCTCCAAAGAGCATTTCCTTTGAACGTCATGTTGGTGCTCAAAAATTTTTGGATTTTGGAACATTTTGGATTTCAGATATTCGGATTAGGAATGCTCAATCTGTAGTGTGACTGACCAGGTCCCTCCTTTTCCCTGTTCTCAGGAGGGCCAAAGGAAGGGAAAGAAACCAGGCTGGGAGTCAGAATTTGAGGCCTCAAGCTACTCACAGGTTCTGTGATTTCTTGGATTCTCAGTTGACTCATCTGCGAGATGGAGATGATGTGAGCCTTGCCACCTGAGAAGGCTCACTGAGAATCTCAAATGAGTTCATTAACGCAAGGGGTATTTGTATGTGGCCCAGGACTACACAAGCATTACAGAATTCCTATTATCACAGGGGTTCACATTACAGTAATTTTGGCTTATGAGAAGCAGAGACCAGAATGGCAATCTGGGGAAAATTTACAAAGAGCTCTTCAAAATTCAAGACCAGAATGGCAATCTGGGGAAAATTTACAAAGAGCTCTTCAAAATTCATTTCTCAAAACTTAAAATGCATAAAACAACACAAAAATTCCATTCCTCTCTCATCCCACAAGGACTGAAGAGAGAAAGAGGAACCAAGAAGAAGCCAGGTTGAGGAAGTTCAAATGGCCCATCTTCTCACCCGCAACCTCAGCCTAGGGGCCAGACCATCAGGTGGGTTCCCAACAGAAACCATTTCTGCATGGAGAAGCCATGAGACACTCATCTGAAAGGTGAGGTGAGAACAACTCCACAGCTTTTGTAGATCCCCAATCATCTGACCTGTTGTGGAATATCATTGTACAGATAAAAGAATCTGATAATCATAAAACTGACCAACAATGCCTGAGCACCAGGCACTGCCTAAACACCTTACATGCAATGTCTCATTTTACTCTCAAAACAATCCCAGGTGAGTTCTGCCATTATCCACAGTCTCCATGTGTGCAAATAGAGGTTGGTGATGTCATGAACCCTGTCCAAAGTCACAGGACCAGTGAGGAGCAGAGATGGAATTGGAACCCAGGGATAGCTCTAAGGCAGTATTTGATACTCCTTTCTGACTGTGGCAGAAAAAGGGCCCAGGAAAGCTTCTCTGAGGTAAACTGTGAGCAAACCAGGCCTGCTCCTCCCACCTTCAGCCCTTCCAACCCACTGTATTAGCAAGCAAAATTCTTACCACACTGTATTTATGGAAAATTACAGACTCCTAACATGGCTAATTTGCTAAGGTGCTGGGGGCTTGAGGGAGGGAGACAGGCATGCTGAGGGCTTTGTTCTCCCAGGCCTTTACCAAATCAGTGGTTAGCGGGGAAATTATATATTCCTGGCTCCTAGCTGATCATCTTCTATAGATGGCCATTAACTCTGAGTATGGGGCTGTGCATGGCATTGTCCTTCAGAGCGGATAAACTTGCTGCCATTGGGCTAATTAAAACTTTCAGGATAATCTGCAGCTTATCCGATATTTATAGTGCTACAGTACTTATTAGAGCTAACGGAGAACCAGTACAAGCCAGCAATTAGAAACCAGAGGGAACAACTGGGTAAAGTCACAGCTGGGCAACTGCAGAAGAATAGCCAGGGAAATTCAGATTAACCCCCGTGGTCTCTAATCCAACATGACTTCTCAATGAAGAAGGGACAAAGGGTCAGAATGACAAGGCAAGCCCAGCCCTTTGGTAAGTCCCAGCAGGGGAGGAAGTGAAGTCACAAATGTGGTCTGCACAAGCCTGACACAGGTTATCCATGTGTTTTTTTTCTAGGGACCCTGGAAGGCAAGAAGCAGAAGCAGCTTACTGGATGACAGAGAGAGATTCTGGAATTCAGTCCTTCATGAAAGTATTAACTCTCTAGTTCTGTATGATTCTGAGAAGGGATGTAGTTCAGAGCTTTGGGGGAGGGTGCACATTTGCAAGGACCTCTCTAGAATCAGCTGATGGGAAAGGTTTCTCAAATCCAGGGAAGGTGCCTATATCTTGCATGAGTGCCAGCATCAGCACCACTTTGACCACTTGCAAAACTGACCATCTTCAAAGCATGTTAACCACCCATGAATTACAGTTAGATCTAGACAAGAGAAGTCCCAGATACCCTCAGCCCTACCTTGCAGGTGATGAGGTAGAAGAAACTTGAAACGTGTCATCCATAAGATGGCCATTTGGGTAGTTAAAGGATCAACAGTTACCAGGAAAGGGTGAATAACAGGAAAGCAGACATGATGACTAAGGTAAGACATCAACACCACCTCTCCCTCCCTGTGAAATTCACTAAGGCCTTTCAGCCATGCTCTCTAAGAAGCCTACCTGGTGGAGAAGCTGCATCTTGCCTGGCTCTGCATCAAGCCTTCCGTTGGAGCTCAGTTTGACTAGCCCCTGCCTGAGGGGGCTGCTGCTTGGCTGGAAATGGACTTGCTCAGAGGCCTCCTGCTCAGCAGGAACAAGGGCCACCTCCTGAGAATGTTCCAGCAACTCCGGACCCCACGCCAGAAACCTTGAGTCCCTCTCCATGGCTCTGAGGGCCTCATGCTCACCCTCACTAGACATCCTGGAAGACTCAGCTGCCATGCAGCAGACCATGCTGGCGATGTCTTTGCACGGCATTTCCTGCATGCTCTCACGCAGCCCCAGGTCTTCCAGGCACCTGGAGATCTTGTCCATATGCAGGATGTGCTGGTAGAACCTCTGATCCTCAGAGTAGTCTTCACTCTCTGACTGATCCTCAGCAGAACTCTGCATGTGGAACTGGGGCACTAGGAAGGGGCTGGAGTATTGATCTTTGAGCCCCAGGCCTGACTGACCCACACCCTGCTCAGATCCCCGTAAGCTCTGCAGGTCCCACGAGGGGAAGTTGTTCACCTCACCCAGGATCTGAGAGTCCAGGTGTGAGGCCAAGCTGCCGGGGCTGCTGCTGCTGCTTCTCTCCAAGGCAGGCCCAGACACATGAGGCTTCCCATCTTCATCAGGGGGCTCGGGAGACCCTGGGGGGTGTCTCTTCTCACTGGTAGGAGACCCTCCAGGGGCACTCCCTGAAGGGGCATTCTGAACTCGTTCTAATGCCAGGGTATCAGGTGGTATTAGGAAGAGTCCCTGAGGTGGATCTTCAGCTAAGGCCCCTGGAGTCTCAGGGTCACAGGGCTCTGTTTCCTTGCAGCCCCCTGAGGTGTCCTTGTTGACAAGCTTGGAGGCCTGTCCCATCCACAATCCTGAGGGCTCTCTCCTTCTCCTCCCCCTGCCTATGCTTCCACCTTCCCCAGAAACTCCTTGCCAACTGAGGTCTTCAGCTGGGCTGCTATCTAACAAGAACAGCTTACTCTTCCTAGTAGGAAGCATGTGATCAGAGGAACAAGGGGACAGGGAAGGCTCCTCCTCTGAGTATGGCAAGTGAATGGGACTCCGTCCCTTGTCCCCCTCAGGGCCAGTGGAGCTAAGTTGAGCTATGCTATGACTGTGCTGCTCCCCTTTCAGCCGCAGCCCCTTGATGGTTTCAGAAAGCTTTGAGTGGATAGGGGCCTGGCTCCTGCTTTCTAACACGTCCTGCCCATTCTGGAGAGGCCCAGTGTTCTGAGGGCTCAGAGAGCCAGGTTTCTGTTGTCTGGTCCTCATTTCCAGCTCTTCCATTTCGGGGTCTGAAAACCCCAGGTAGATCTTCTCTGTCGCTTTCTGGGGTTTCTCCAAATCCTGCTGATTACCTAATTCTGTCCTGCATTGGGCTGGGGGTCTGCCTAAGATTTTCTCCACATCAGAAAAGATCTGGTGGGTTCGGGAGGCTTGGCCTTTGGAGAGTGGCTGCAGCTTGCTGGGGAGGGCACCCGTGAGAGACCAGGGGGTGTCAACTAGCATGCATGGGCTCTTTCCTTTCTTAAAGGAGCCCTCACTTCTAGCCTGTATCTCCTGGTCTAGGTCCAGATCAGCAAGCTCAGGTGCCAGGAGAGGGGATGGGCCACGGAGAAAGAAGGAAGAAGGCAGAAGTCCCTGCTCAGTCTGTGTTTCCTAGATGGGTATATAAACATGCAGAGAAAACTAAGACAAAGCACTTTGATGTATGCTTGCTACCTTAGCCCTTGGCTAGCCCTTAGCAGAAAGCCACCCTCCATTTAAAGTAAAATACAAACCACAGAGGGAAGAAAAGCTAAAAACTCCCTTGGCCTGTAAATATGTTGTTTTCTGGGCCCCAGTTTCCTTATCTATAAAGAAGAAGCCAGACTATATTAAAGGCTTGCAAACATTTCTCCATAGAACCTGGGGGGCTCAGTACCTTGGGGGCTACTATAGTATGCATGTGACGGAGAAGAGGCATGACCAAGACCCCTGCCCCAGGTTCAACCAGAGCAGCTTCATTTCTTTTTTGTATAATCGAGACCATTACAGAGAAACTGTCTTGAAGACAGGACTTTACTACTAACAAAAGTTTGAAAATCACCAACCAGATTATCCTTAAGGTACCATCTACCTCTCAGACTCTGTGACTGGTTGATTTTACAAAATGCACCAACCTTATCAAAGACTCCTAGAAATTTTCTAACAGGGAGAGAAGAGGGGAAACATAACCAGTGACCTGACCCTTGGAAACTGAGTCTAGTGTCTTCTCCCAAAGGCACAAGTTGGTGCTGCTAGAGAGATGTCCACAGTCATAAAACCTAGGGGCTAGAAGAAACCCTAAAAAAACAGCCACTCCCTGCAAACATTCACACTAATCATGACCTGGCTGTGAGGCCAAGTCCCCTGAGTCCAGGTCATCCACCTGGCTCAGGCCTCTCCCCCAAACTCATGTTTGAGGCACCTAAGAACCAGACTGACAGCCCAGGGCTGTCCAATTGTCCTCATTTCCCAAACCCCAGAAGGAACCCTTTTTAACAGGACCTCCTGGAACTCAGTCACACACCCGGAATTCAACCCTCCATCAGAAGCCTCAACTTCATTCCCTCTCTAACCTTCAGTCATGTCAGAGCCTGTACAGATGCCTGATTATCATTTCAAATAACCGTGGGTTAGTGAAAAGCCCACAGCTACCTTTCACCTTTCAAATACATGATATTGGAAAATTCAGCCTATTTGGAAATTACCCATCCTCTTTTCTGTACCTGGAGGAATGGGCTTGTTACCTTGTTTCTCAGGCCCATGAGTAATATGTGGGGGAGGGGAGGGAGGCGTATCCATAGAACTTGGATATGATAAAACAGATAAATTCTTCAACAACCATTCAAAGCCAGAATTGACACCTTACGAAAGAAGGAAGATGGACAAAATCTTCACTGAGAAGTAAGCTCCGGGCTCTGGTGGGAAAAACTATAAACAGCAACAAAACAACTGGACCATTGAGAGGTTAAAAAGATATTCCCAGTGCTCCCCACCTGGCTCAACTGAGTTCCTATGTCCCTTTGTCTCCTCAGCGTGCCCCACCTGACCCATGCTTGAGTGAAGGGAAGAAGGCCTGGTTTCCCTGCATCACCATCCTTCTGGGAAAGCCTGAGCCTCACTTCAGTATGGCTCCAAGTCTTAGCTCGTCCACCTAAAAAACGCCAGCTGTAACTCCACCTCCTAGGTTTGGATGTGCTAGGGAGACAAATTAAACAATAAGTGGATAAGAGTACTTTGAACTCCAAGTAGAAAAGCTACTCAATTCCCAAGCATGTGGTGTTAATGCTGGAAGGAAAAAAAGCTACTGGAGACCAAGGTGATCACATTGTAAGTAAATTTCAGTTATCCACCACTGACCAAGGACACTGGCAATAAAGATAATCCACCAAAGCAGATAAAGCCCAAGGTTTTTCTTTTGAATCTTGATGGCACTGGGGTTCTGACAACTGAATACACACGACTTTAAGACAAATAATAAGCACAGGGCTGGCTAGTTAGCTCAGCTGGTTCGAGTGCAGCCTTATAATCCCAAGGTCACAGGTTCAGACCCCCTCACCGGCCAGCCAAAAAAATAATAAATAATCATCATCATCACACACAAGGACAGCCTGACTCTGGGGAAGAGAAAGGACACTCTGCTCATCTAGGCTCGCTGGCCTCTGCCAACAGCTCCCCGTCCCCACTCTCCACAGCAACAGATGCCATCACTACTACTACTGCTGCTACAAAACACCATCCTCAGCAGAGCACATGCTCTCATTAATCCTATTATGTAAGGCATGCTTTGTGGGGGGCGGGAGGGGAGGATTGTTTGGGGATGGTAACAACTTCTACAAGCTGAAAGGAGAATGTGCCAGAACACAGATGTTCTGATGATGTACTATCACGAATTTACTATAATGTTGTTGTTGTTCTTAACCTCCCAGCTGCAGACACCGAGAGGTTCCCAATATCCCCTCAGGTTCTAGTACTGGCCTCTCTGGGAGCTGGCTTCCACCACTTGGCTGACTCACCAGGGGACTTTTGGAGGTCTCTTTGTCCTTCTTGTCTTTCTTTTCCTTTTCCTTTTTCTTTTTCTTGTTTTTCTTCTTAATGGCCCCAGTAGCTGACAGCTTCCCCCGCTCTTGGATGACCAAGTTCCGATAGTGCTCATCACACGGATGGTCCCACATGGACTGCCCGTTGGCAAAGTTGAAATAGTAAATATCACCTGTGATGTGCTGGCTAGGGATGAGCAGAGTTAAGAAGTTAGTTCCTGCTCAGGTCCAAAGTAACTCAGGAAAAAGAAGAAAATGGGGGAGGAGGCAGAGAAGGAGGAAGAGAGGGAAGGGGAAGAGGGAAAGAAAAGATGGAAGAAGAGGGGATAAGAGGAGAGGGAAGGAAAGGAAAGGATTAACACAAAATTGGAGCGTACTATTTGGCTAAGAATAAGGAGTTAACTTGGAGGAAAAAATGATTGGGATACCTAAAGACTTCTCCAAATGAAGATGTGTAATCACTGGAATTCCTGGGAATTCATTCTAGTGTAGGAATGAATTTGGTTTTATTTAGATGTGTTAAGTTTGATCTAAAGGTTTCTCCATACACAGTGAACTATAACCTAACTTGCTGTGTAAACAGACCGTGACCTAATCTTGTAATAAGTAGCTGAGTCGCAGTCAATCAGAGGCAGCCAACTGTTCAAACCATGTTCAAGTATGGCAATGCCGAGCTGAACCAATCCAGCTGTTTCTGTACTTCGTTTCCGTTTTCTGTACCTCAATTTCCTTTTTCTGTTCATAAATGTTATCCAACCATGCAGCAGCTCTGGAGTCACTCTGAACCTATTCTGGTTCTGGGGGCTGCCTAATTCACAAATTGTTCTTTGCTAAATTAAATTCTGTTAAATTTAATTTGTCTAAAGTTTTCCTTTTAGCAGATGGACAAGTGTAAACACTGTGGTACCTTGGAGATAAGTGCTACAACGAACCTTGCTTAATATTTCAATAAACAGGGCCGGCCCGTGGCTCACTTGGGAGAGTGCAGTGCTGATAACACCAAAGCCCCGGGTTCGGATCCCATATAGGGATGGCCAGTTCGCTCACTGGCTGAGCGTGGTGCTGACAACACCAAGTCAAGGGTTAAGATCCCCTTACCGGTCATCTTCAAAAAAAAAAAAAAAAAAAAAAATTTCAATAAACAGTCTGAAGAAGAAAAAAGCATTGTGAAAGCTCTGATTTTGCAGAAGACTCTAAACTCATAAGAAGTGATAATCCAAGCTAATGGGGATCAATGTTTGAAGAAAATAATGTAGGATTTTAAGAATCCATGTTTCAAAATGCACAAGTCCAAAGTAAACCATTTATTCCATTTACCATTATCAGGACAGCTAATGGGAAAAAGAATCCCATTCACAATAGCAATATAAAAGATAAAATACCCAGGAATTAATCCAAAACATGCAAAACTTTTACAAAGCTTCACTAAAAAGTCATACAAAAAAAAAAATTGGAGAGGCATTCCGTGTTCTTGAATAGAAAGACTCTAGTCTATAAAGATGCCAATAATCCTCAAATTAATGTATAAATATAATACGATCCCTATCAGGCTCCTATAAAACTTGCCAAGCTGAATCTCAATTCAAATAAAAGAAAAAATGAGCAGAAATAGATGGGAAAACATCAGGGGTAAAAAAAAAAAAACAATGACAAGGGCCGGCCTGTGGCTCACTCGGGAGAGTGCGGTGCTGATAACACCAAGGCCACAGGTTCGGGTCCTATATAGGGACAGCCAGTTCGCTCACTGGCTGAGTGTGGTGATGACAACACCAAGCCAAGGGTTAAGATCCCCTCACTGGTCATCTTTAAAAAAAAAAAAAAAAAAGAACAATGACAGAAGATATTCACATAACCAATAAGTGCATGAAAATATGTTCAACATCTCTAAACATACAGGAAATACAAATTGAAACTACAATGAAATACTGCCTCATACCCATCAGCATGACTATTATCAAAAACCCAGAAGGGCCAGCCCGTGGCTTACTTCGGAGAGCATGGTGCTGACAACACCAAGTCAAGTGTTAAGATCCTCTTACTGGTCATCTTTTTTAAAAAAACAAACAAACAAACAAACAACAACAACAACAAAAAAAAAACAGATGGGTTACACAGTAGATTTGACAAAGAAGAAACAAGTAGTAAATTGGAAAATATACATAAGGAAATTACCCAAAATGCAGCATGCAAAATAATATGATTTTTGAAACATGAGATACAAGTTAACAGATATGGAGGATAAAATAAAAATCTCCGACAATTAAGCTGATTTTTTTTGAGAAAAGTAATATAATAAGCAAACTTCTGAAAGACTGATCAAGGAAGAAAAGAGAAGTCACAAACAAAAAGCATCAGAAATGAAAACAGGACATAACTACAGATTCAGCAGAGATTCTAAAACCATAAAAGGAAATTATGAATTGATGATGATATCAGGGAAATTCAAATTAAAACCACAATGAGATATCATCTCACCCCAGTTAGACTAGCTATTACCAAAAAAACAGAGGATGGGGCCGGCCCGGTGGCGCACTGGATAGTGCGCCGCTTGGGAAGCGCGGCGGCGCTCCCGTCCGAGGGTTCGGATCCCACGTACGGACCGGCTCCCGCTCACTGGCTGAGCGAGGCACGGGAGCAAAGCCAAGGCTTGCGATCCCGTCGCCAGTCCCCGGTCCGGTACGGGGGCAACACTGAGGGTTGCGATCCGTTGCCGGACATGGAAAAAAGACAAAAAGACAAAAAAATAAAAAATTTTAAAAAAATTAAAAAAAAAAAAAAAAAAACAGAGGATGAAAAATCCTGGCGAGGATACATACAAAGGGGAAACTTTCTACACTGTTGGTGGGACTTTGTATTAGTACAGCCTTTTTGGAAAACAGTGTGGAGGTTTCTCAAACAACTACAGACAGAACTACCATACAATCCAGCAATCCCACTACTGGTATATACCCCCAAAAATGGAAATCATCACGTCAAAGGGGAACCTGCACTCCCATGTTTACCACAGCTCTATTTACAATAGCCAAGATATGGTACCAACCTAAATGTCCATCAACGAATGGGTGGATAAAGAAAATGTGGTATATATACACAACAGCATACTACTCAGCCATAAAAAAGAATGAAATTCTACCATTTGCAGCAACATGGATGAACTTGGAGAAAATTACGTTTAAGTGAAATAAGCCAGGCACAGAAAGAGAAATACCACGTCCTCACTCATAAGTGGAAGCTAAAAAAATAAAGAAAGGAACAACAAACACAATAATATCTTGAACTTTCAAGAACAAAACTGTGATTATTAGAGGGAGTAAAGGGGAAGAGGGAAGAGGGTTAGGGAGAAATTGGTTAAGACACAAAGAATGAGCACATTTTGTAATGATGAATATACCAACTATCCTGATTCAATCATCACATATTGTACACAAATACTGACAGTCAACTTTGTACCCCACTAATATGTATAATCAATTATGTTTCAATAAAAAATAAATAAATTTTTAAAACAGCAACTCTGAAAAAAAAAAGCAAAAGATTTGATGATGATAAACTTGAAAACCTAGACCAAATGGACAATTTCACAGACAAAAAACAGGTTAACAAAATTGACTCAAGAAGAAATAGAAGAAGAAATAGAAGGCCTGAATCAACCTATACCCATTAAAAATATTGAATTGGCAAAAATGTATTCATTCATGCATACAGACATGTATGTGCATGCACACATAGGCCCAAAATGAGTTTTACCAAACCCTATCCTAAACAAATCGTTCCAACAAATAGAAAAAAAGGGGAACACACCCCAAATTGTTTCATGAGGCTAGAACACCTTGATAATAAAATCAGAAATAGCCAGTCCTGTGGATTGATTGAATGGTGTTCCCAAAGTTCATATATTAGAAGCTTAATTCCTGCTGTAACTGTTGAGGGTACAAAATCCTGTTATGGTAACTGAAAGGTGGGGCCTTGAAGAGGTGATAAGATTGTAGGACCATGCTGTTGTGAACGGATTAAAAATGGTGGTCCTGGGCATGGTTCTGAGGGCTTTAAAAGGAGAGTGCCTGAGGAACTATCTCTCTCTCTGCTCTGTCATGTTCTGCGATGTGAGACACCAGGTCACTGTCACCACCACCAAGGCCTTCACCAGCTGTGTTCCCTAGACTTTGGACTTCACAGCCTCTGAAACTGTAAGTAATAAATTTTGTTTTCTTATAAATTACCCAGTTCCAGGTATTTTGTTATAAGCAACAAAAACAGACTAATACAGATGGTAAATATTTGTCAATCTCAGTTATGGACATAGATGCAAAAGTTTGAAATAAAATATTAGCAAACTAAATCCTACAGTACCTAAAAATAATGTACCATAACGTATAGTGTTTATCCCAGGAATTTCAAGATGTGTAACATCAGAAAATATATTAATGTTATTTGCCACATTAAAAGATTAAGGGGAAAAAACCCATGCAATCATCTCAAAAGATGCAAAAAGAAAAGCATTCTGTAATACAGCATTTGGGAGAAAATCACTTAACAAACTAGGATTAGAAGGAAACTCTACCTAAAACCTTCACCAAAAATTAGAAGCATTCTATTTCAATTCAGGAACAAGAAACAGAGGTCTTCTATCACAATTTTTTTCCTTAGAAGTACTAAAGGAAATTCCAGCCAATGTAATAATATAAGAAAGTTAATCTTAAAACTTCAATGCTGAAAATGGAGTAATAACATCGTCCTTATTTGCAGATTACATGATTTTTCTGCATAGTAAATCTAAACAAATCTACAAATTACTAGAATAAGAACATTTGGCATGGCAACTGAATATATAAGATCAGTAATAAAAACCAATAGTATTCCTATTCACCAGTAACAATCAGTTAGAAATGCCATAATAATTTGCAATAGCAAATATGCAATGGCAACAAAAAATTATAAGGTACTCGGAAATATATCTAACAAAGGTTGTACTACATTTTGAAGAGAATATTGTGAAAAATTTTTGAAGGGCATAATTTAGGACTAAAAAAAAGTGATGTGTGCGTATATATCCTATGTTCATGGACTGAAAGGTTCAGTATTACAAAGATACTAATTCTACCCAAGTTAATCTATAAAATAACATGTAATTCCAGTCAAAATCCCTAGAATTTTTGGCAGACTTTGAGAAACTAATCCTAAAAATAGTATGAAAGAGTAAGGACTAAGAACTTCCAGGACAAAATTAAACAATACAAGGGTACTTCAAAAATGTCGTGGAAAATTGGAATTAAAAGATATATGAAGTGTTACAGCTCTTTTTGAATTATCTAGCAGGTTCTCCAGTCTTTACCAGAAGAACCCCCCCTCCTAAGAAAATAAAGAAAAAAGAATGATAATATGAATCCTTCCATTAACTTTTTGAAGACCCCTCATATATAGGAAGGACTCTCCCTACCAATATTAACTCTTAGTATGGGGCCGGCCCGGTGGCGCACTGCTACAGTGCGCCACTTGGGAGCGTGGCGGCGCTCCCGCCGAGGGTTCGGATCCCACATACAGACCGGTTCCCGCTCACTGGCTGAGCAAGGTGCGGGCGCAACGCTAAGGGTTGCGATCCCGTTGCCGGTCCCGGTCCAGTATGGGCGCGACACTGAGGGTTGCGATCCGTTGCCGGTCACGAAAAAAGACAAAAAGGAAAAAAAAAACAAAAAAAACTCTTAGTATACAACTATGGTAATGAAAACAGTGTGGCAACCCTATGAAACTAGAAAAAGTGCAAATTAAACCCAAAAAAAACCAAAGAAAGGAAATAAAGATCAGAGAAGAAATCAATGAAATAGAAAAAAAGAGGCAGTGAGAAATCAATGAAACCAAAATCTAGTTCTTTGAGAAAATAAACAAAATTTATAAACCTCTAGCCAGGGCAATCAGAAAAAATAATAATAATAATAAAGAAAATACAAATAACCAATATCAAGAATGATAGAAGTTATAAAACTACAGATTTTAGAAATATTGAAAAGATAAGACAGGGCCGACCCGTGGCACACTCGGGAGAGTGCGGCGCTGGGAGCGCAGCGATGCTCCCGCCCCGGGTTCGGATCCTATATAGGAATGGCCGGTGTGCTCACTGGCTGAGCGTGGTGTGGGCGACACCACACCAAGGGTTGGGATCCCCTTACCGGTCACGAAAAAAAAAAAAAGAAAGAAAAAGATAACACAATATGAACAAACTTAACCTTACGCCAACAAATCCAATAATTTAGATGAAATGAGAAAAGCTACCAAAGGTCATTCAAGAAGAAACAGCCTGAATAAGCCTTTTTCTGTTGTAGTTAAAATTTTTCTCACAAAGAAAATTCCAGGCCCAGATGGTTTCACTGGTAAATTCTACCAAATATTTAAGCAAGAAATAATACCAATTCTACACAAACTCTTCCAAAGAACTGAAGAGGAAGGAATTCTTTTTTTTTTAAAAGATGACCGGTAAGGGGATCTTAACCCTTGACTTGGTGTTGTCAGCACCACGCTCAGCCAGTGAGCAAACCGGCCATCCCTATATGGGATCCGAACCCGTGGCCTTGGTGTTATCAGCACTGCACTCTCCCGAGTGAGCCACAGGCCGGCCCCAAGGAAGGAATTCTTCACAAATCATTCTATGAGGCCAATATTAATCAGATAATACCAAAACAAGGCAAAGACATTACGAGAAAAAAAAATACTAGAGACCAATCCCCCCACAGGCATAAATTCAGTAATACTTAATAAAATTTTAGAAATCAAATCCTTTTTTAAAAATTTTATATAAAATATAAAAAGGATACTACATCAGGACCAAGTAGAGTTTATCCAAGATGTAAGGTTGGTTTAACATTTGAAAATCAATCAATTAAATTGACTATATTAACAGACCAAAAAAAAAAAACACCATATGATCCTATCAATAGATGCAGAAAAAACATTTGATAAAATCCTACATCCACTTCTGATTTAAACACTCAGCAAGCTAGGACAAAGAGCATTTACAAGAAACCTACAGCTAACATCATACTTAATGATGAAAGACTGAATTTTCTCCCCCTAAGACCAGGAACAAGGCAAAGATATCCACTATCACACCGCTATTTAATTATACTAGAGGTTCTAGTCAGTGTAGTAGGGCAAGAAATAAGAAAAAAAAGGTATCCAGTCTATGGCCATACTACACTGAACATGCCTTAACTCATCTGATCTTAGAAGCTAAGCAGGTTCAGGCCTGGTTAGTACTTGTTTGGAAGAAATGAAAGGTACCCAGATTAGAAGGAAAAAAGTAAAAATGTCTTTATTCTCAGAAGACATTCCTATGGAATCTACAAAAAAAGCTACTAGACTTAACATAATTGAGTTTAACAAGGTTGCATGCTATAAGATCAATATGCAAAAACCAATTTCATTTCTATAAAAAGGCAACAAACAATTAAAAATTGAAATTTTGAAATATACCATTTGCAGAAACATCAAACCTATGAACTACTTAGGGATAAATCTGGTGAAAGATGGGCAAAACGTGTGCACTAAAAACTACAAAAAAATTCTTAGAAATATTAAAGAAAACCTAAAGAAATGGAAATAGACCAAGTTCTCGGGTTGAATGAGCCAATATTACTTAAGATGACGATGCTCCCCAAATTGATTCATAGATTCAACACAATCCCCATGAAAATCCTAACAAGAAACTGACAAGCTAATTCTAAAATTTGTATGGAAATGCAAAGGATCCAGAATATGACTTTGAAAATGGAGAACAAAACTGGAGGATTTACTCTAAATGATTTCAAGATTTATTATAAAGCTGCAATAATCAAGATAGAATAGTACTGGTGCTATGGATCAATGGAAGAGAGAAGAGAATCCAGAAACAGACCCTCACATACATGGTCAATTTAGAAAATATCTAAATGTTCTCCAATACAAGAGTCGCTAAATAAATCAAGGTCTTTATAAAAACTGTGGTACATCTATGAGTATATATGGAAAAGTATGCAGCTGATAAAAGAATGAGGTAGACCTATACACAATGACACAGAAAACAGTGTACATATAGCACTTACGGTTAAAAAAAACAATCCGTTAGCGGGGTGGGTGTATGTGTTTTAAAAGGTCTGGAAGAAATTTATCAATTAATAGTAATTACCCTTGAAAAGGGGAATAGTGTAAAAGGTGACATGTGTACATTTTAATTGCCTATGTTCTTTTAAAAAGTGAAAAATTATTCACACTCACCTTATAGGACAAGGGAGTGTTAGTCACCACTAGCAGGTATGTGAAGGCAACTGGCACAAAACCAGGCACACAGCTGGCCTACAACCAATGACAGTTTCCTACCTTCTAACAGGGAGGATATTAAAAACATAAACCGCTATCCTATAAACTTTTCCTACAAACACAACCATGAGTCCTCAGCACCCGAAATACACTATAAAATACACTAAAAAGATGTCCTGAAACTGGAGAAGGCCCAACAAATGGCAGCTAAAAAGATCAAGAGAACAAGGAGCCTGCCATGTGAGGAAAAGCTAAAAGAATCACAATTCTTCAGCTGAAAAGACGATTGTAGTTATTTTAAAGTATGGGTAATACATTAAATGCTATAGGCAAGAACAGGATGATTACACCTTGTACACAAAATCGCACAATACCAGCATTAGAAGGGACTCCCCTAAGACACCTGGGGACTAGTTTGGGACAAACAAAGGGAAATCACATTCTAAGGTAGGAAGTAAATTTATGGCCCTCACTTCAGGGAAACAATTTGAAGATAGCTCTGTGCGTGGGATGAGGATGAGGAACTGTGCAAAAGCAGAACAGAGCAGATGCACAGAATAAACAGTGTCACCATGACAGGGAGACGATGCAGTCCTCAAGAGAAGGGGGCAGATGGCAGCAGTAAACGTAACTTCTTTTAGTGTCCCCACCCTACCTACTCTGTTTCCTCACTGTACACCTCTGTTTTCCTGAAATAACATAAGTGAGTCACTGCTCCTTGCAATCCAAAGAACTCTAAGTAGAACTGAAAATATGAATGAACGTACGAATATGAACTTTTCATGAACAGGTTACACAAATTCAGGGATGGCAAAGCTATAGGTTGCCAAGAGAGACAGAAACTTTTTGCCAGGTCTATGTGACCTCACTACAAACCTCTTTAGTGCCAGTATCCATTTTGAACATGCTAAGGAGGTACAATTGTCACTTTCAATATCAGCCTACAATGACACCTCCTCAAGACATCCAAAACAGATGCTGGTGCTAGAGGGCCTGATCCAGGGCAGCAGCTCCTATGGCCCTAGACATAAGTGCAGAACTCCATCATAGGGATCATCAAGTCGGCCTATGCTCAGGCCCAAAACATCAGATGGCCTATCAGAGGAATGGCACAGTGCTGTCCTTGACTGTTCCTCACAGGTTTGGAAAAGATGGCCAGTTAAAACTGACCTCCAGTGCCAGGTTCCCTCTGCCTCTGATGGGCCAAATCAGTGACCTGCACCCTATGCTGACTTACCATGGTTTCCACTCCGCAGGCAGTGGGGCCACGATGCCCTCCCGCGCCAGCCACATCAGTTCTGGCTCCTTGATGGGATCAATACCAATCTCTCTAGCAAATTCAAGAATCTCTGCAAGGAGAGGCAGGAGGGTAGGAAGGTAAGAGAGATGAGGGTGGGTGAACAGAAAGAAGAAAAAAAACCACAATCTTTTTTCTACTTTGCCTTTACCTTCCAAATTTTCTTCAGTAAGAAAGTATTATTTCTCTAAATATAAACAATAAACATATATAATTGTCTCCTTACATCACAATTTATAAATCGTATACCTGAATCAAGGCATGCTGTCACCATACTCCAAGAACATAATCTGAAGCCAAATATAACAAAGGCCAAAAAATAAAACCAAGACTTCATGTGGCAGGGCACTCAGGAAGAACTCCAGCATCCACAGCCCAAACCATCCAGGATAAGGTCAGCCTTACCAGAGGACATAAGCTCTCCCAAGGTTTGCAAAAACTCGGTCCAAAAGCGTTTATCACTCAATCAACAAGCATATGCTGAACATCTACAGACAACTAAGCTCCTTGAGGATCTTACAAACACACAAATAGAGTACAACCCCCATAACACATGCTGTAATGGTGACATGTCCCATGTGCCATGGGAGCGGAGGGAAAGCAGTGACTGACTCTGCCTTGGGGCAAGGAGATAGCTGAGCTGAGAAAGTGGATTATACTCAGGGGCCTTCTTCCCCACCTATTGAACCCTCTCTTCCACGAAGGGAGTTGTTTCTTTTTCAATTTTTGCTATATATATTATGGACACTAATACTTTTGTTATACTCTTTTGGAATCAAGCATTGAGAATATCTCTCTTGCTGGAGATCTGGAGGAATAGGGGAGATATATGCATTGAGTTAAGAGCTATCTCACCTAGAGGAAAAAAGATTGATGAGATGACCATTTGAACACATAAATATCCCAAGGGCATAAATGCTTGAGCTGATAATAGCCCAGGCCAGAAAGGCATCACCAGTATGAGTCATCTCAGTGGAGAATCCGGAGACTGACATACCTGGACACTAGGAAAGAAAAAACACTTTTTCAAAGTGTTTTTGAAGCTGGAACCTGGCTGGCCAGGGACTCATTTATTCATTGATTTCACAAATATTTTTTGAGTGCTTCCTATGTACCAGTAATTATGTGCCACCCATGAGAGAGAAATGGCCGCTGCCCTTATGGTGCTTACATTCTAGAAGAGACAGGTAGCAAAGAAGTAAACGGGCAAAGCGTATACTAAGCTCTTTGAGAACTGCTTCTGAGATGCCAGCATGTACTGAAGTCTTTTCTGTCACCAAATTTGTACACCTGAACACATATGTAGACATTGTTTTCTGTAAATAACCTATTTTTTTCTTCCATTCTCTGCAGTTTGTTTAAAGAACAAAGGCTAAAGTCAAATCTGGTCTTAACCTAGAAATACTTCTGCCTTACTTAGACATACTCCTTATGCTTTTTATAAGAAAAGAGTGTTGCAGGCCGGCCCGGTGGTGCACTCAGTAGAGTGCGGCACTTGGGAGCGCAGCAGCGCTCCCGCCGAGGGTTCGGATCCCATATAGAGACCGGTCCGCTCACTGGTTGAGCACGGTGCGGGCGCGACACTGAGGGTTGCGATCCCGTTACCGGTCACGAAAAAAGACAAAAAGGAAAAAAAGAAAAGAAAAGAAAAGAGTGTTGACTCTAAATGCAGCTTTAAGAATTGTTTTTCAATTTAATATAGTTATTTGAATTTCCAATGTCAAAGAAAAAAAAAGTAGTAAACGGGCAAATATACAAAGAATTAACGCTTCAGATGAATGCAATGGAGGAAGTAAATGAAGTATGATGTAAAGAATGTCAAGGTGGAGGGGCACTCCTTTAAAAAGGATGGTTGAGGGCCAAGCCCATGGTGCACTCGGGAGAGTGCGGCGCTGGGAGCACAGCAGCGCTCCCGCGTCGGGTTCGGATCCTATATAGGGATGGCCAGTGCGCTCACTGGCTGAGCGCAGTGCAGCCGGTCTCAAAAAGGACAAAAAAAAATAAAAATAAAAATAAAAAGGATGGTTAAGGAAATTCTCTCAGCAATGATGACACTTAACTGAAACCTGCAGGAGACAAAGGAGCCAAGCAGGCAGAGCCCTGAGGAAGGAGCATTCAGGCAAAAGAAGAACAGGTGCAAAGGACCTGTGGCAAGAAGCTTGGCCCACCTAGGGACTGTCAGAAAGCCAACAAGATTAGCAAAGTGAGCCTGGCCAGGTGGGCAAGGTCAGGTCACACAGAGCCCTGCCACTGCACCCAGGGCGTTATGTTGAGTATACAGAAGGGTATTAAAAGCAAAGCCCTGGGGCCGGCCCGTGGCTCACTCGGGAGAGTGCGGTGCTGATAACACCAAGGCCCCGGGTTCGGATCCCATATAGGGATGGCCAGTTAGCTCACTGGGTGAGCGTGGTGCTGACAACACCAAGTCAAGGGTTAAGATCCCCTTACCGGTCATCTTTTAAAAAAATAAATAAATAAATAAAAAGCAAAGCCCTGATATCATCTGCTCTACACTCTGAGAAGATCACTCTGGCTACTGTGTGGAACACAGACTGGACAAGGGCAAAAGTATAAGCAGCGAGGCTAATTAGGAAGCTACTGAGATAGCCTAGGAAGACAAGACGGTGGCTTGAGGTCAGAATGTCTGAACTTGGACTGAGCAAAAGAGAGTTTTTATAAACATCCTTAGAAAAAACTTAGGCTCCATTTACAATAGGAACCAAAAGAGATAACATATTTAAGAAATAAACTAAGCAAGAAATGTGCAAGAACTACATGAAGAAAACTTTGTCAATATGGAAGAGCACAAAAAAAGAGAGAAAAGGAAAAGAAATACAGTGGTCTTGAATAGGAAGACTTTACTTCATAAAGACGTCAGTCCTCCCTAATTTAAATATTTTACACAATTTTCCACAAATATCAATAGTTCTCCCATACACAGCCCTCCCCAGAACTTGATACGGTGATTCTAAAATTCACAGGGAGGGACCGGCCTGTGGCTCACTTGGGAGACTGTGGTGCTGATAACACCAAGGCCACAGGTTCAGATCCCTATATAGGGATGGCTGGTTAGTTCACTTGGGAGAGCGTGGTGCTGACAACACCAAATCAAGGGTTAAGATCCCCTTATCGGGGCCGGCCCGTGGCTCACTCGGGAGAGTGTGGTGCTGATAACACCAAGGCCACGGGTTTGGATCCTACATAGGAATGGCCGGTTCACTCACTGGCTGAGCGTGGTGCTGACAGCATCAAGCCAAGGGTTGAGATCCCCTTAACGGTCATCTTTTAAAAAAATAAATAAATAAAATAAAATTCATAGGGAGATAAAACAAACAAGATAGCCAAGAAAACATTGAAAAAATAAGAGCAACCAGGGCATTTTAGCTCTGCTAGTTATTAGAATTTATGATGAAGCCTCAGTAATTAAGAGTACAGTAGTGACGTGTGAATAGACAGTACAATGGAAGAAAAGAGAAAGTGGACCTGAACACACACAGGCAGCATCCAAATCACTGGGAAGAGATGAGCTATCCCATTAATGGCGTGGAAACAAAACTAGAAGAAAACATGAAAGAAGTATTTTATCCTTGGAGCGGGGAAGGCTTTTCTAACTATGATACATAATACGGAAGCCATATGAGAATGGATGGATAGATTTAACATAAAAATAGAAAACTTAAACATGGCAAACAAACATTACACTATAAGCAAAGTCCAGGGTTTTAGGTGGGATACATGGATTCTTGGGGGTGCAAGAATCCTTACCGCCACTCTCTAACAGGTCCACATACCACCTGAATTATAAGAAAAATTTGTGTGCATATCTATAACTCATCAGAATTTCAAAGAAATTTTCACTCCAAAAGATAGCATAGTGCTTCAAAGTGCAGGCCCTGGGGTTAGAATAGCTAGGTGCGGATCCTAGCTGCACCACTTAATAGAATTGCATAACCTTTTGTTTCCCTCATCTATAAAATGAGGACAATAATAGTACCTAATTCACGGCATCGCTCTGAGGGTTGAAAAGGGAAAGTTCTTAAAACAAGACTGGCACATAGTAGCACTCGATAAATTATGTTACTGTTGTTACTAATAATGTTATTAATAATATTGTTAAAAGAAACAATGTTTTGGTTTGTTCTTAAGAAATTGGGTTTGCCCTGAAACACACTGTATTTCATATCTCCTACTACATTTTCATTTAAAACTAATCATTGGGGGCCGGCCCGGTGGCGCACTGGATAGTGCGCCGCTTGGGAAGCGTGGCGGCGCTCCCGCCCGAGGGTTCGGATCCCACATACAGACCGGTTCCCGCTCACTGGCTGAGCGAGGCGCGGGAGCAACGCCGAGGGTTGCGATCCCGTTGCCGGTCCCCGGTCCGGTACGGGGGCAACACTGAGGGTTGCGATCTGTTGCCGGACACGGAAAAAGACAAAAAAATAAATAAATAAATAAAACTAATCATTGATCTAACCCAGGGTCAGCAAACTTTTTCTGTAAAGGGCCAAATAGGATATATTGTAGGCTTTGTGGGTGATAAGGTCTTTATCACGACTATTCAACACTGCTGTTGCAGTAGGAAGAGAGCCATAGACAATGCAGAAACAAATAACCATGGCTGTTTTCCAATAAAACTTACTTTACAAAAGCAGGCAGTGGGCCAAGTTAGGCTCATGGGCTACAGTTTGCCAACCCTTGGTCTAACTCAAATATAGATCATATTTGAGCAATCCTGTGCATGTACCATACTTTGCATTAGAGGAACAAACGTAAATCAGACATAACTCCTGCCCTCAAAGAACTATTACAATATACTACAGGCCTCTTACCTTGCTCGCTGGGAATGTAGGTCTCATCATAATCTTCCTCCAGAACCACCTGGTCTCCTATGCGGAGGGGTCGTCCAGCCATGATTGGTCTGGGCTCGAACACCTAGACCCCAAAGTCCCCCACCCAAAGAGAAAAATCAGTGACCCAGCTTAGAAGGGGAAAAGTTAAAGCTGGGTCATGGAACATCTGGGTCAGACCAGACCCTGCAAGCCAACTTGGCCGGTGACTCTACAGGCACCGGGGATAGTGGAGGTTGGGACCAATAGCTCAGAACTCAAACATTACAGATTCTGTACTTGGGAAAGTTCCATGAGACACATCTCCCAAAGGCTTGCTGAACACGTGGTGAACCACAAAAGACCTTCAAGCCTGGCTCTCTCAAAAGTTTGACTTCATATTCCCCCTGCAACAGGAGGAAGAATTAACCATCCAAGACCTCCAGCTAGAAAACCCTAGTGACACCAAAATAACCAGCAGCACACAGACCTCCCTTATACAAGCACATCTCAGTGCATAGTGACACTTTATCAACCCATATCCATATGTTTATCCCTACTGACATCCAACAATGTCCCCAGGGTGCTTATAATCCAGTGGAGGGAGCAGACACAACTTCCAAAGTAATAGAGGGCAGAAGGGAAAAACCTCCTGCTCCAGGAGTACTAAGATAGGAGGAACAAATTCTCCCTGAAGGGATGAAGGCTGACCAGAATTCTGATGGTGGAAAAAGGCATTCTACACGGAGGGAGCATCAGCTACAGACAAGGTGTTCTGGGGTGCAGGATAACAGCCTGCACAGCAGGCACTGGGCTGGAAAGCCAGCTCAGGGGCCGGTCAGAGAGAGCCTTATAGACAATGCTAAAGAGCCTCCACTCTGCCCTGTGGCAAAGGGGAGCCACTGAGAGCTTTGGTGAAAGAAAGTAACACAGGACATCCTCTTTTTAGGATGAGAACTCCGCACTGGCATGGCTGGATTGGAGAAATGAAAGACTGGTGTCAGGAAAAACGCTTGAGGAGGTGGCTATCCAGGTGAAAGATGATGAGGGCTTAAACCAGGGCAGAGGCAGAAGGAATGGAGAAAAAAGGACAGATAAAAGGGACACAGCAATGTTAGGCTTAAAAGGAACAGGATGTGGGGATAAAGTGGAAAGGAGTTGCAATGCAATAGATTGTGTCCCTCCAAAACTCATATATTGAAACCAAAACCAGCAGTGTGATTGTAGCTGGAGATAGGGTCCTTAGGAGGAGGTAATTAAGGTTAAATTAGGTCATAAGTGTGGGGTCCTGACCTGACAGGATCAGTGTCTGTATAAGAGGACAAGAGACCAGAGTTCTGGTCTCTCTTCCATGTGAAGACATAGCAAGAAGGTGGCCATCTGTAAGCCAAGAACCAAGAATGAACCTTGATCTGGGAATTCTAGCCTCCAGAATTTCTGTTGCATTTTGTTATGGCAGCCCTACAAGTTCAACTCAAATTCAAGGTTTCTAGCTCCAGGGGCAAGGTGGCGCTAAATTCTTCTACTGACAAGCTGGTACAGTTCTAAAATTGATCCTCCCTTCCTACCCACAGTCCCACCACCACCTCAGGACCCCCAGGGTCCACCAACTCTCCCCTGTGGCAGCTCCCACACTGAAGCCTGGTGAAGCAGAGACAAGCTGCCCTGTAAAATGGCTGCTGTGAACAGTTCCACTCAGAGTCCCCCTCCCCGCCAACTAAGGAGGTGTCAGCCACACCAGGTGTGACCAACAGGAGTCTGGAGCAGCAGGTCCTGGCCTATCCTCCCCATTGCTTCAGAAGCTGTCAGTTTCACATGGAGCGGCAAGATGAAATGGCACTCTTCAAGCAGAAAGACCCTGCCATCAAGAAGGAGGTCAGGACCTGGCCAGGAATGAGTGTATAGGAAATGACTGGATCTGATGAATATGAGTCTATGAATCTAGGCCAATATCCCTAGAGAGACACCCCTGACAAGCAACAAAGGATCTGTCAAGGACAATTACCACGGCCCTCTCTGTACCATGACAACTGAGAACTGGGCAAGGGAGGTGTCCTGCCTTAGGACTCACAAGGCATCATTCCCTTTGTCAGCCCACTGGACCCCAAAGGAGCATGATTCTGCCTCCTCTCACTCCCACTACACACCTCCAAACAGGAAGAAAAGACCAAAGGAAAAGGAATCTTCTCTGCAGTAAATAAGATGAAGTGGGAATCTGCTCCCAACCCTAAGTAGAACCCATAACATCCTACAGACCTAATGCTCACGTCCCTACACACACAGTCTGAGACGAGCAGGGCCTGACCACCACCGACTCTAAAAAGCAGAGCAGAAAAGGACCAGAAACTAGGGTGGCAGATGTGGCCCACTGCCTGGCGGCTTAAGGAATCACCTGAATCTCTAATCCTCTTAGTTAGGGAGAGGAGGAGAAGAGAAAAGGAAAGGATCCATGGGCAAGGATCCATCAACAGTGGCCTGAACATCAGTGTGAACAAGCATGTATCAAGCATGTGCTCTACACAGGGCATTCTATTAATTATCTCAGAAAATCTGAGAAATTCTGCATTTGAGAAATGTTACCTATCTCCAGATACACTCCATCTCCAGAAAGAATGGGACAGGTACAATCTCTGCCCTCAATGCAAAACGCCTAATTAGCTATATATATATGTTTAACTATTTAAAGGTCAAAAATAACCTGAAAAATCTGAATTTATGCATCATCCAAACTTCAAACAAATCTGCCAGAAAAAATTAAAATAGGGATGGGCTGAATTCTGCCTTCTTTCCTTGCTTTACCTGGCTTCAGAAAAGATGTGGGCAAGGACAGGATCAAAAAGACAAGAAGTCGCAGGAAAGAGGAATGTAGGAGAAGAACTCATATTTATTTAATGGCTACTAGAGATCCTTTACTCAATGAGAAATATTTATTGAGCACCTACCAAGTTTATTTGTAGGCACTAGAGACGCAATGGTGATTAAAAACAGATTCAGTTGCTACTCTCCTGCTGGTAGTCTAGTGAGAGAGGGAGACAAACCCATCAACAGTCACATATAAAAGGATAATTATAGGGCTGGCCCGTGACTCACTTGGGAGACTGTGGTGCTGATAACACCAAAGCCAAGGGTTCAGATCCCTATATAGGGATGGCCGGTTAGCTCACTTGGGAGAACGTAGTGCTGACAACACCAAGTCAAGGGTTAAGATCCCCTTACCGATCATCTTTTTTTTTTTTCCTTTTTGTCTTTTTTCGTGACCGGCAACGGATCGCAACCCTCAGTGTCGCGCCCGTACCGGACCGGGACCGGCAACGGGATCGCAACCCTCGGTGTTGCGCCCACACCTTGCTCAGCCAGTGAGCGGCCGGTCTGTATGTGGGATCCGACCCCTCGGCGGGAGCACCGCCACGCTCTCAAGCGGCGCACTGTAGCAGTGCACCACTGAGCCGGCCCTACCGGTCATCTTTTAAAAAAATAAAATTAAAATAAAAAGATAATTATAAATGAGGTAAGAGCACTGAAGGAAATGTGTCTGATTTAGATAATGCCTACACTGAGAACTGAAGGATGAGTGGCTATTCACTAGACAGAGAGAAGAAAAACATGTTCTAACAGAAGCAGCAGCATGTGCAAAGGCCCTTCAACAGGAAATGACACTAAACAAGACAAAGCATAGTTGGAGATGATGCTGAGGAAGCTGCCAGAAGCCAAGCCATGCCAAGGACCAGGCCTTTTCATCCACACTTGTCACTGTTTCCCAATCCTTCAATATCATGGCTAACCTCCTATGAGCACTGTCAGCACAGCCAGAGTTCTGCACACCTGCACACTAAGAGAGCATGCATATACACTCCCACACACAATTAGGGTTCCCTGCATATTTTCTTCTTCCACCCTGTTCCAACAATTATAAAGAATTATAAAGAATGTTCACCACTGAAAAGATTTACTGGAGAAGGCATCGGGGAGAAGGTGGATGACATTAGAGTTGATTATATAGTGGTAATGAGCACAGGTTTTAGAATATTCCTGGCTGTGAATCCCAGCTCTGCCCCTCACTAGCTGGGCAAGTTGCCTGTTTTCTCATCTATAAAATGGGGATAATAACAAGGGGATGATAACAACGTCTATCTCAAAGTGTTGTGAGGATCAAATGATTCAATACATGTAAAGTGCTTAGAACATAGTAAGATCTCCAATAAATGTTAGATGTTACTATTATAACTACTCACATACTTAAAGGGCTTATTCTACATTGCTCTAGAGGGCAGATCCAGCACCAGGGAATGTAAGTTAAGGCTATTCAGACATTCAATAACCACTTAATGAACACCTACCATGAGTCAGGCACTGTGCTATGTGTTAAGGCTACAAACCTGATTACACATAGCCCTGAACTTGAGCTCAGCCTAGCTGGGAAGCCAAAGATGTAAAGACATGACTACATAATGTATTGAGCGCATTAAGGGAAGTAACAGAAAATATAACAGGATACAAAGGTAAGGGCAACTACTCTTACTTTGGAAAATCAGGGAAAGCATCACAGAGTACTGGACCACTGAGATGATTCTTGAAGGATAAATAGGAGCTCACCAGGATAAGAGGAGTAAGAGGATTTAAGCCAGAAGGAATAGCACGCACAAAGGCAAAGAGGCAGGAAGGAGTCCAGTGAGTGCATAGAATTGATTATGACAATAAAAGCTTAATGTCACTGAACACCTTGTATGTTCCAGGAACTGTACTTAAAGGCTTTATATATATATCATCTCACTTCATCCTCTCAGTTGGATAGAGATTATTATTCCCATTTTTCAAATAAGGAAACTGAGGCTTAGCAAGGTTTAAAAAAAAAAAAAAAAAAAACCTGCCCAAGGTTTGACAGCTAGTAAATGGCACAGCAGAATATGCATGCATGCACATCTATCTAACTCCAAAGCCTAGCTCTTAGCCACTCTGACACGACCAGAGTGCAAGGGACATTGGGAGGAGTGGCAGGAGACAGATCTAGAATGGAAGGCAAGAGCATACTATAAAGGGCTTGGAAGGACAGAGGCTGTATCCTGTACATGATGAGGGGCCATCACAGGATTTCGCAAAGGAGACCAGCATAATCAGATTTGTAGCTTAGGACAATGATTCTGACAGCTGAGTAAGCACTAATTAGAGGAGGGCAAGAACAGATGCAGAGAGACCACTTCGGAAGTTCTCTTGAAAGCACAAGCAAGAAATTATGAACTAACTCAGTGGCTGTGAGAATGGGAAGGACCAGATTCTGAGGGAATCAAGGGGCAGAATAACAGGATTTGATGTACACAGCAAGTGATGGAGAGGCAGGAGGGAAATCAGAGCACTTAAGCCAGTACATTGTGATTATCTGTTCACTTCTAGGCCTTGCCTGATAGGCTGCCCCACCTAGCATACTGCCTAGAAAAGAGGACATGCCCAGCCAATGTTTGCTGCACATATTAGATGAATGAATTCGGGGTGTAGACTTGGCTGACTGAGTGAATGGTGGTGAGGTCCTTCACTGAGATAGGAAATACAAGCGGAGGAACAGATCTGGGGGACCTGGAAAGACGAGAAGATCAGTAAGCAGGTCTGAGATCAGGAAAAAGGTCTGGCTGAAGAGTAGTCTGGGGAGTCAGCGCTGAATATGGTGATTGAAACTCTGGCTGAAATCACCCAGAGATGGGAGTGTGAGCAGCAGAAAGGTGGGGCCTGCAAAGGCTGCGTTAGGAGAAGCTGGAGAGAGGGAGTCGTGGAAGCCACGTGAGGAGAGCGGTTCCAGATGAAGAGGTGGATTTTTTAATCAACGCAAGAAAAAATAAAAAGCTTTCCAACTTCTCCAGCTGGTTAAAAGATGGCACACGGTTGGGCAAGTCCGGATTCGGAGGCAGGGGGAGCTTCCCACAGAAGAGGTTCAGAGGGCCGGGTCTCACTCGCTGTGAACGGGATTAGTAAACGAGCGCCCAGAGAGCTCACACACCGTGCCCGGCGCCCCTCTCACTCACCCGGCCAGACCCCCAGCCCAGGCCCCCCGCCGCCCGCTCCGGAATTCCCAACAGAGGCACCCTCGGCCGGCCGCCCGTTTCACTTCTTAGCTCGGTTCCCGCCCACACTCGCGCACATCCCGCTCGTTGGCACACGCCCCCGCAACCCTCCTTTCCCCGCCACCCAACCCCCTCCTCAAGGAGGTCCTCACCTATCCCCCGCTCCGGGAGGCTCTGGGCGATGGCTCCGGGCTCTGTGCAGCTACCCCAGCACCACCCCGGCTCCCCGCTTCCAGGGACGCCGGGGTGTTGCCCTGCAGCGCCCAACAACCACTTCCGGAAAAGGTACCAACCTAGCAACTGAGAGTCCCGCCTCTACCGGGAGCCTATGGGTCGCTGAGTGGGAGCTCTGGCGTCGGATTGGTTCGATGTACCGTCGGATCACGCAGGCACGCTTCCCGTTGCACGACGGGAGATATAGTTCAAAATAGCTGATGGGGGGTCTGCAAGGGGTTCAAAGAGAGCCCTAAATCTAAATACGGGGAGAATTTCTTCTAGGGCAGGGAAAGACAGTTCATAGTATTTATACTAACATTAATTATCTAAGACAACTTATTGATCATCATCTTTTAAGTGTTGATTAAAACCAGGTGAATCGGGCCGGCCCGTGGCTCACTCGGGAGAGTGCGGTGCTGATAACACCAAGGCCCCGGGTTCGGATCCCATATAGGGATGGCCGGTTGGCTCGCTGCCTGAGCATGGTACTGACAACACCAAGCCAAGGGTTAAGATCCCCTTACCGGTCATCTTTAAAAAAAAAAAAAAAAAAAAAAAAACCAGGTGAATCAATAATCAACCTTTAATAAACAAAAGTAATGGGAATGTAAGGTAATGGGTTCCCCTTCCTCCCTCAAAAAACTAGCTCTCCTGTGCTCTGATTAAATCAATGAGCACCTGACCAGGAGTCAAGAGACCTAGTTTCTATTATTAATCTTTTTCACCAAAGCATAGGGCTCAGTTTGCCTGTCTGCAGGATGGGGATAATACTGTCTGTCATAAGTATTCCAAAGAGTTTGTTGAAGAAGAAAAAAGGTGGCACAATGTGTAGCCCCTCCGCACACCCTGTCTGGCAGAAGGGTTGCTACTAGTATAATTCCAAAAAGCTTTAGTTTTGTTTACACAGAGGACAAATATTACTTTCTCTCATATGTCACCAAACTCATACGGTTAAGAGGGGCAAACACAGCTATGGCCATGACATTACATCAAAACTAGGGAACAGAAAAGTAGCGATGTTGCTAGCCGAAGAGGAGAATGGTGAGACCAAGCACCTGGAGCAGCTCCTGATAGGTTCTAAAGATGTTCCTGGCTCATACTAACTACTAAGACTAGTTCCAACGCCACTCAGAGCCTGATCCCAGAATGAAGAACTAGATTGTTGTCCCAGTAGATCCCAAGCCAGATATTCAGAATGTATTCCTCATGTTTAACTTCAAATACTTCTGCATCAGTTCTGCCTGCACTACCTTCATTCTAACTGCAGATGAAAAGTCATTGCTCCCCCTTTCTCTCCACACTCCTTAAAAGTCTCACTGAGGGGCCAGAGAGACCAAACTAGGGAGGAACTCTAAGAGTCACCAGCTTTTCCACCACAGAACTGCACAAAACAAAGATTCAAAAACTATTTGTAGGGCCAGCCCGTGGCTCACTCGGGAGAGTGTGGTGCTGATAACACCAAGGTCACGGGTTCGGATCCCTATATAGAGATGGCCAGTTAGCTCACTGGGTGAGCACGGTGCTGACAACACCAAGTCAAGGGTTAAGATCCGCTTACCAGTC